GTTATTACCGATCGTGCCGACGTGTTGTATTTAATATGATTGCGATGTTCTGCAATCCTTGTCTTTAGTTTTCTGCCTGTCTGTCCCACGTACGTAGCGTCACAATCATTGCAAGAAATTTTGTACACTACGTTGTTCTTTGATGTGTGTGGATGAACATCTTTGTGTACCTTAATGTATTTTTTGAGTTTGTTCGGACTACGGAAAGAAACCCTGATGTCGTTATTGTTGAACCGATTGAACTTTTCTGTGTGGCGCGGGATGAACAATTTTACTTTCGGACTTTCGATTTTACACACAAAATTTGACACTTATCATTAACATTTTATTAGACAATGACTACCCATTATCATTTATATTTGACACAATCAACCTACGAATTAAAAACTTGAATAGAAATAGACACATAACACAGAACAGTATGAATGACAAGGACGAAGCGAAGGAATCAGTGTCCTGGCTTACGGTTCCGTTCATCCCGCGCCACACAGAAAAGTTCAATCGGTTCAACAATAACGACATCAGGGTTTCTTTCCGTAGTCCGAACAAACTCAAAAAATACATTAAGGTACACAAAGATGTTCATCCACACACATCAAAGAACAACGTAGTGTACAAAATTTCTTGCAATGATTGTGACGCTACGTACGTGGGACAGACAGGCAGAAAACTAAAGACAAGGATTGCAGAACATCGCAATCACATTAAATACAACACGTCGGCACGATCGGTAATAACGGAGCATAGGAGACAACTCGACCACGAATTTAAATGGGAGGAGGTCGAAATCTTAGATGAAGAGCCCAGCTATCGGAGACGTTTAGTTTCAGAGATGATTAATATCAGGAAACAAAAGAATGGTATCAATTTGCAGACGGATACCGATGGCCTCCACAAAGCGTATATTCCAATCATAAATAGAGTTTGACTTTCGGTTACGAACAGCCCGTCTCCTCTCTCAGTCTGTGTTGATCCTCACTACTGAACGTACATGATAATCGTTACATTATGTCTGTTTTACATATCTACGTTCCTTCTCTCTGTACATATTTCAAAAGTTTTTTAGTTCTTTTTTGGACATATTAATTCAAACTTCTTACACATGATTTCTGGTGAGTTTTTTATGAAATAATTTTTATGGAATTTGTTTGACTTTCGGTATTTTATATTATTTTATTTATACGTATTTGTCCGTTACGTTTTTTGTTTTTAATTTATCCGTTTTATTAACTAGAACTTCAACAATGACAATTTTAATACTTTTGACTGTTCAACCATACGGAAATTATGTTTCGAGATCAAGACTCACCCGAACTGTGATTATTCGGATTATACGAATACTTGCGACAATTGAATTTGTTCTGTTACTTTTCATTGTACTAATGTCTGAAGAGGGCTCAAACTGGTAGCCGAAACTTGTTACTTGTAATGTATTAGTTTATAGTTTTATTTTTTCCCGTGATGTTTCATCGCGTTTAATATAATATATAATTTTATGTAAAAATTAAAAAATGTGGTTGACTCTTACTTCGCCCGTTGATTGAGTTTTGTTATTATGTTTTGAAAGAGTCCTTTGAATTTGTTTATTTATTTGAATAAGTAAAACATAGAGCAAGCAGAAGTTAGAGAGCGTGTTGCAATAAAAGAATAGTTCATTGGTTTGCGGACATTTGGAACGCAAGTGTTTAAAAAAAGTGAGCTGAACATTCTCAACAAAAATTGACGAGCAATTTAATAATTTTTAATGCTAATAAGCATCTTTATAAGAATATTAATAATTTGATATTAATGAGAATGTTAAATCTGCAAATAATTTATTGTATAAAATATTGCCAGAAATATTTAAAATCTGCTTTGATCGGATATAAGATTTCTCTTATTTAATTAAAATTATTTTTAGATCTATATTTAGATCAATTTTGAAATACTTCAGCAAGATCATTTTTTTGTTAGCTATCTTTTGACGAATAAAAGTTGTCTATTTATACGCGTTGTGACGTGATGTTTTTCGTCCGTCACAAGTGTCGCACGACCCGACCGAATAGTGCAGTCTGGCGTCCTGAGTCCTTCCACATTTTAGGAGGCAAACGCATCTGCGCTTCTTCGCGACATTATTTGCGTGTCTCACGCGATTCGCGTTATCGTTTCCGTTTCTTTTTTTGTGCTTTGCCGTACCGAGAGTTATAGAAACTGGCGACTCCCACAATCTTGGCAGACTGACGCCTCACCGGATCGTGAAGAGAGAAAAAGGAAGACGGCCAAGATTGGAAGTCGAGTAACGACCGCTGCTGACGGATTTGCCGGGGTGCACGACACCTTGTCCCCCGGGTAGCACGCAGGTGATATCATTCAATATTTCGCCCTTTTTGTTGTCGCAAGACACTTTTTATCGCATCATCTTCCAGGCACAAGGCGGAACGAGGAGTGAAATGGCAGGATGGGGCCACTCTACGTCCCAAGGACGGTGAGAGCCCTGAGAAGGCGCTTCAGGGCCCCGAGGCGGCCCGAAAAGATCCTGCGGCCCTTCAAATTCCGCGCGCCAGGACATGCGACACGGACATGACGCGGTTTCCGCGATTAGCGGAGCCGCGGTGCCACGCGCTAATAAGACGTGATAAGGCCCCCTCGCGGGGATAATGAGTCCTGCGCTAATAAGACGCGATAAGGCCCTCGGGAGGATCAGCGCCCGGCTTGTGCTGTGGCCCGTCGAGAGAGAGCACGCGAGAAGGACGACCCAGGACGACAGCTAAGCGATCCGTGAGACAATCCGGACGAGGACCACTGCAGGAGGTCATAGTGAGACGAACGTGGTCATTTTGTAAAGTCGCTAGTTTTCCGAGTCCGGGAGGCGCAATTCCGAACGAAACATTGTTTTCGGGCATAACGTAGTGAGAGCACGTGACATTGCCGTGCTGTAGATTCCCGTGGATTACGAGCAAACGGGTCGCCTCCCGGAACGGTCATTCACAGTCGGGGAAGTTTATTGCGTCCGCCAAGGCCACAGCCTCGTCATTTAATGTACATAAGTGTGTCGCGTGTCATGTTTTCGTGTCGACGTTCCGTATGACCGTATTGCCGCGTGTCTTGTCGTCGGAATCTTGCAACGTACGATCTGCATGTTTGAGAGTATCGGCGCTTTGTGTCATGATAA